CTGCTCATCAGGGACAAAATATATACCCTAAAATTATACCCCCCAGTGACCTATCTCCCTCAGCCATAGCCTACCTGCCTACAATTAGTGCCCCGGTTTATCCATCAGTGGATTAATATACTGATTAGGTTAAGACTATCACAATCTAATTATTTCACCTTAGAAAATGTTTACAATGTCTCACACATGAGTTTTTGGGAAACTCCTTCTATCTAAACCATAACAATTTCCTTAGTATTGTTAAATTGTTTTTCAGCTACATCAGAGATTTTCTTCAAATTAGGATCTCTTTCTGGAGAATTGTTATTCTCATTTGGAAGTATCACATCTCCTGTCTTGTTTCTTGTGTACTTACATCTATATCGGCACATCTGATGTAACATTATGTCTTCCAATATTTTGAAGTAGTTTTTGTCTTCCTTTTCATATCTTCAGGCATCACCCTCTCAAGGGCTGCCCACAATGACTGGCTGTTTTCCAAAGCTCCCACAGAATCTGGTGTTACTTCACATATATGCTGGTTTGACACTGGTGCTGCTAAAGCTTATGACTCTTCATTTAGATGGGATACAGGATATCAGTTGGGTTTGATTAATAGGAGAGCTCAAAAGCTTAGTCTCTATTTGATTTCTTCTCCTTTGATTGATGTCAGCAATGTCTATGAGTGCCTCAGTAGTCCTGAGTATAGCAGTTCAGGAAGGTGATTGTATGACTTTGTAGTGGAATTCCAAATATGTGTGTCCCCAGACTCCACAGAGTTGAGTCCTGATGGGCAGCAGATGAGCACTAGCAATACTGGAGTCTGTGGTACTGATAATCAAGGACTTGAGGTTTTAGAACATAAATAGGAATTTTTCTAGGTCTTGTTCAGTGATTGATGTTGGTGCTAGGGCTTGTAATGCTGTTAATCAATTTTATAGAGCAGAGGGACACACAGAATATCTTCTCCAGATCCAAAGGGATAAGCACAAACTGTATCAGGGCTTTTGGCACTAGTAGCAATGGTCCAAAGTTCATGACTGTGGGGAGGATACTTTCCCCAAGTCCCCTGGTATATGTGCAGGTATTGTTCAGACCTGTTTCTGTATCCATATTCTTGGAGTTGTAGGACATGGAAGAGACTTTCTTAATATTACACAGTTTCTACATGGGTGCTGCTAGAGCTTATGACTCTGGTACTGGTGGTACATGATATGGATGGGAATGCCCCTAGGTCACACAGGGAAAGCTCTTGGAAAAGATTTGTGATGTTGATAGCCATTGTCGTGGGGTTGCAGAACATGGATGGGATATTCTCCTGGTCCTCAGAGGCAAGTTTAGGTGTTGCCAAGGCGCTTGCACCAGCAGTTGCTGTCCCTGGGCCATGGGCTGAGAAGGAATAAAAGTGATACTGGGGATTGGAGCCACTGGTAGCCACATTCCTGAAGCTACAGAACTCAACTGAGAGTTTTTCCAGATCCCAATGGGCAGACATAATTGAAGTCAGAATTTTGCAATAGTAGCTACAGTTTCAAGGTTGTGGGCTGAGAAGGCGATCTTCCATAGTTCCAATAATGCAAGTGCTTGTGGCTAGGGCAGCTGCTAGTCCTAAGCTTCAGGATGTTTGAGGGGACTCTCCTCACTCAATGAGGTTTACATTGGCCCAAGAATTCTAATAGTGTCTGAGAGACTGGTTGCCAGCCCCTAAACCAAGATCGCATCAGGCAATGATTATTATAGTAGTTTGGGTTGTGGAAGTTGAAGGTACCAAAGTGAATCCATTCTTTAAAGTAGAGCAGTCACTTTTAGGGCACTCTGCTCCATGAATCAGACTTAAAACTTATAAAGCAATGGGATTATCCTGCAGTTAGGACAACTGCTGTGACTGGCATTGCTGGCACTTCCCTGCTCTCCTTTTCCTGGCAGTCTTGAGTGGCACCCCCCTCCCCACCCCAACTCCACCACACTTGAAAAGCCAGGGTTGAAGGTATGAATTGTTTTTCTTTTCTCCAGTTTGCCTTTCAAGGTCTTCATGCTGTTTAGGCTTCCCTTCACTTTCTGCTGATTTCCAGAGTTCCCTCTCAAGACTCTCCTTGAAATAGCTTTTTCTTTGTTGACCTGGTTCTTCTCTGTGGCAGAGTCACATGCAGGGCACCTGTCTCTGTCAGAGTTTTCACAGCTCTGGCCAAAAGATCTGACAGGAACAATTTTAGAGGAGGAAAAGTTTATTGGGTCCTCACAGTTTCAGAGGTCTTAAGCTGTAGGTGGCGACTCCATTGCTCTGTGGTCAAGGGAGGCAGAACATTATGGTGGAAGGGTATGGAGAAGGAAAGCAGCTCAGAACACAGGAAACGGGAAACAGAGAAAGAGTTCTGCTCATCAGGGTCAAAATATAAACCCAAGAGCAATACTCTCAAGTGCCCTATCTCCTCTAGCCACACCCTACCTGCCTACAGTTAGTGCCCAGTTAACCCATCAGTGGATTAATATATTCATTATGTTAAGGCTCTCATAACCCAGTCATTTCACCTTGGAATATTCTTGCATTGTCTCATACATGAGCTTTTGGGGGACACCATATATACAAACTGTAACAGCACCTGCATTCTGCCACCTGCATAGTCTGGTTTTTCGATCAGTTAATTTATCTTGACATTATTTTAAAAAACCCATCATAGGATGTTTCCCTCAGTATTTAGAAGTAGAACTATTTATTTTTTCTTAACTTATACTGAATCCCCACAGTGTAAGTGAGGCCTACCAAATAGTCCATAAGTTTTTTAATATGGCTTTCATACAACCCTGTTCTGTAAGAGAAGAATGAAGAAATGAATAGTGAAGGGTTATGACTGGCTGTTTTCCAAAGCTCCACAGAATCGGGTGTTGCTTCACATATATGCTGGTACCCTGTTTGACACTGGTGTTGAGGGACTGGTTTTAAAGGCCATGTTGCCTTTAAAGTTTTATTTTTTATTAGTGTGTTGAGTTTTATTTTTCATTGAAAGATATGTAAGTCACAAGCTATGTTCTACCTGTACTGTTAAAAACTACTTGTGAGATTCTAAAGGTGTTCTGCCTCTAAACACCCTATAAAATCGAAGTGTTTCAGACCAGTCTCAATGTGTAGGTTCATAATTTTTCATTTCTCTCTCAACTACTGACAGTGTGGGTACATTAATTTTCATATTAGTCTCCAAAACTTAGTTTTTATTAACAAAAAAATCTACATGTTTAGTAGTTATCTCTTTTTTCCCTTGCTTGTCTATAAATGTCCTCTGTTACCTGTTATTTATATTACCTTTCTTCCTGTTTCCACTAATTGCCTATCTCACAAACATCAATATAAGAAATGATGGATGCATTTCTCTGTGTGTGCATACAGACACATTCTCTTTGGTGTCTCTTATGGTGTGGATGTGAGGTGTCCCCCAAAATCTTCTGTGTTAATGCAGGAATTTTCAGAGGTGAAATGGTTACGTTCTGGGAGCTGTAACTGTAACTGTAACTGACTGTAACTGTAGGCAGGTGGGACATGGCTAGAAGAGGCGGGTCACTAAGGGTATACCCTGGAAAGTTACGTCTCTTGTCTCCTACTCCTTGCATCCTAACATCACTGCCCTCAATTGAGCAGCTTCCCCCCTGCTGGGTCCTTCCCCCATGATGTGCTGACTCACCTTGAGCCCAGAGCAATGGACTCAGCCATCTATGGACTGAAACCTCCATAATCATGAGCTCCAGATAAACTTTCACTCCTCAAATTTGTTCTTGTCAGGTGTTTTGGTCACAGTGACACAAAAGATGACTAGAATCTTGTCCTGCTCCATTCATGATGCTAACTGGCATAGACATGGGGCTTATAACCAAAAGAGATTCTTTCTCGCAGTTACAGGGACTGAGAACTCATAGATCAAAGTGTTGGTAGATCTAGTGTCTGACGAAGGACCGCTTCCTCCTTCATACATGGCCATCTTCTTTCTGTGTCCTCACATGGTGTGAGAATTGATGAACCTTTCTGAGATCTCTTCAGTAATGACAACTAATCCCACTCAATGAGGGCTCTTCTTCACAACCTATTCATCCCCAAGGGCCCTGTCTCCTAATGTCTCATCATTACTTTGGAGATTAGGATGCATATGCATTTTGGGGGCAGGGGAATACAAATATTCAGTCTGTAATACATGGGATTCATACACTTTCATGTTTTTACATATACAGCTTCCAGCAATTCTCCCTCCCTACCCAAACTGAATTTCATATTTTTTGCTGGTTATAGGAAATATTTTCCGTTGCTAAAAGATAAACATATCAATAAAAAGAAATTCATGTAACTGTTATCTAACTTTCTGCTAAACTAATCTCTGTATCCCCATTGCCAAGACTAATCCAGATAAACCTGGGATGTTGTGACCAACTTGGTGAGATATCAGAATAGTGTCATAAAGTTGTGAACTAGAAGAGGGAAGCAAGATGGAGAAGGGAACATGGAATCATGCCATGTTGTTTGAAATAATCAGTGATTCTGAGTCAGGAGAGCCGGGAAGGCTTCAAATGATCCATCAGTTATCACCTGGAGAAAAATTTGCTGGATGTTGCTCTAGGGTGCAGAGTTTGGATTTGTGAGTATAATTTACAAAGATTGTTTTTACAACTTGTGAGGAAACACTGCTGAGTAAATGAACTTATGCTTCTGTGAAATGAGCTGCCATGGGAAGAAGTAAGCTTCCCACCACTGGAAAGTGATCAAACAGGAGTCTCCTCATTGCTTTCCTGGGACATAACTCAGAGCCCATAGTCTCTAGAGTTTTCCTTTCATCACTGATTTCTAGATCCTTTTGTTAACATATTGATGTATACAATATTTATTTTAAAATACTTATGTAACTGGGCATCATTTTCAGAATCTATGCTTATATTTTTCTTCTCCTTTCCCAAAGGTAAGTGGTTCATGAGCATAATTTACTAAAGTATAAACTATACCCTATTATTTGGTTAAATAATATCTTCTTTTGTCAGCTGTAGAGTGCCCTTGAGAGGAAAGCAAGAATGAACTGAAAAAGGGAAAAGCACAAACTACAGGGTGATTTAAAGGTGAACCAGGAAACTGTGGAGAACCTGGAGAGCAGCCAGCAGTAGCTAGCAGAGTGGCTCAGGATGTAAGCACCTTTCTGTTGACATGCGGTTCAGGAAAAGAGGTTCAGAGAGCAGTTCTGTCATTCCACTTATCCTCGAGACTCTAGGCAGGTATCTAAGACCTCAGGCAATGACAATAGGTTTAGGAATTTTTTTGATGGACTTTTAGATAATAAAAAAAAAACAGTAAATGCATAATGTAGAAGATAACAGTGTATCTGATTAACAGATGAGAATCAAAGGTGTAAGGCACTTGAGATATGAATTAGTGGGAATTTAAGCCTACAAGTTAAACTCAGAAATGCTCACTTATTTTTACTCATGCTTAGAGTAATTGGCATAAAATGCAAAAATATTTGACTTTAATATACTAATATACTCTCTAATCACTTAAATAATATTTGATAGCTATTTCATTCGTACTTGTGTAGGTATTTATTGTCAAATAATTTACTATATAAATATTAAACCTTAAAATCTAAAGCAAGGGGCTGGGATTGTGGATCAGTGGTAGAGCGCTTGCCTTGCACATGTGAGGCCCTGGGTTCAATCCTCGGCACCATGTAAAAAATAAATTAGTAAAGTTACTGTGTCCATCTACAACTTAAAAAATATTTTTAAAAAATCTAAAGCAAAACATGGCAACAATCAAAATTAAGGAAACTCAATTCACATTATTTTTTAAAATATTTAGGTACCAAAAAAGTATTTATGTACATACATATGTATTTTTCTTGGACTGAGCATTGAACTCAGGGTCTCATGCTTGCTAGGCAAGTACTCTACCACTGAGCTCCATTCCCAGCCCTCACATGGATTCTTCTCTTTTTCAATTTTTTGAAGATTACTTATTGATGGATTTTTATTAGTTTATTTTAATAATACATAATATGGTACATTGTGACATCATTATCATGCATGGAATACAATTTGCTCTAATTTAATCCCCAGAACATTCCCTTTCCTTCCTCTTGTTCCCTTTCCTGTACTCTACTAATCTATCTTCTATTTATTCATAGTGTTCTTTTTTTTCCAATTAGTGCCTTATGGATATACAAATAGGTGAGATTCACTGTGGTGTATTTGTATGTGTTAATAGGAAAGTTAGGTCAGATTGATTCTACCATTCATCCCTTTTCTGAATCTTCCCCCCTCTCCTTCAATTTCTTTTCTCTATTGATCTATTTTAGTGGAATTCTCCCACCACTTTCTTTCTTTCTTTCCTTTTTTTTTTCTTTTTTCCCTTAGTTTGGTCTAGCTTCCACATATCAAATAAAACATTCAACCTTTCACTGTCTGAATCTTTTTAAAATTACACTTAGTGTGATGGTCTCCAGTTCCATCTATTTACCAGCAAATGAAATGCAATAATATCATTCTTTATTAAGTCTGAGAAATACTCTATCATACACACACACCCCACACTCACATTTTTTTTCATCCATTCATCTGTTGATAGGCACCTAAGTTGGTTCCCATAGCTTGGCTATTATAAATTGTGCTACTATAAACATTAGCATGAAGATGGCTTTCTCAATTTATAGTTCTACCCGTTAGTGAGAAATACCATCCCATTTATTGATTCTTAATTTTACTTCTTGTGTTTTAGAAATGTAGTTGAAGAATTTGGTTCCTAAGCCAACATAATGAAGATTTGGACCTATTTTTTATTCTGGTAGGCACAGGGTCTCTCATCTAATGCCAAGGTTCGTGATCCACTTTGAGTTTATTTTAGTGCGCAATGAGAGACGGGGGTCTAATATCATTTTGTGACATGTGGATTTCCAGTTTTCTGAGCACCATTTGTTAAAGAGGCTATCTTTTCTCCAATGTAGGTTTATGGTGCCTTTGTCTAGTATGAGAACACAGTATTTCTGTTGGATTTTCTCTCTGTCTTCTCTTTTGGACCAGTGGTCTTCATATCTGTTTTGGTGCCAATACCAGGCTGTTTTTGTTACTATAACTTTGTAGTATAATTTAAATTCTGGTATTGTGATGCCTCGTGCTTCACTTTTATTGCTGAGGATTGCTTTTGCAATTTCATGACTGCTTTTTCTATTTTTATGAAGAACATCATTGGAACCTTCGTAGGAATTGCATTGAATCTGTATAGTACTTTTGGTAGTATGGCCATTTTTTACAACGTTAATTCCACCTATCCAAGAGCATGAGAGAGATTTCCATCTTCTAAGGTCTTCTTAAATTTCTTTCTTTAGTGTTCTGTTGTTTTCCTTCTAGAGTTGTTTCACTTCTTTTGTTGGATTGATTCCCAAATATTTTATTTTTTCAAGGCTATTGTGAATGGAATAGTTTTCCTAATTTCTCTTTCAGTTGATTTACTACTGGTGTATAGGAATGCATTTGATTTGTGAGTGTTAATTTTATATCCTGCTAGTTTGCTGAATTCATTTATGAGTTCTAGAAGTTTTCCAGTGGAATTTTGGGGTGTCTTAAATATAGAATCATGTTATCAGCAAATAGTGATAGTTTGAGTTCTTCTTTTCCTACATGTATCCCTTTAATTTCTTTCATCTAATTGCTCTTCCTAGAGTTTCAAAGACTATGTTGAATAGAAGTGGTGAAAGAGGGCATCCCTGTCACATTCCAGTTTTTACAGAAAATGCTTTCAATTTTTCTCCATTTAGAATGATGTTGGCTGTGGATTTAGTATATATAGCTTTTGCAATGTTGAGATATGTTCATACTGTCACTACTTTTTCTAGTGTTTTGACCATGAATGGATGCTATATTTTGCCAAATGCTTTTTCTGCATCTATTGAGATTTTCATATAATTCTTGTCTTTCACTCTACTGATGTGACGAATTATGTTTATTGATTTCTGTATGTTGAACCAACTTTGCATCCACTGGGATGAATCACACTTGAAATGGTGGGTGCACTATCTTTGTAGTGTGGTTTTTTTTGTGATTTACCAGTATTTTATTAAGAATTTTTACATCTGTGTTCATGAGGGACATTGGTCTGAAGTTTTATTACCTTGATGAATCTCTGTCTGGTTTTGGTATCAGGGTGATACTAGCTTCATAGAATGAGTTTGGAAGAGATTCTTCCTTTTTCTATTTCATGGAAAATTTAGAGGAGGATTGGTGTTGAAGGACACGTAGTGTGGTGGCAGGTGCCTGTAATCCCAGAGGCTAGGGAGGCTGAGGCAGGAAGATTGCAAGTTCAAAGCCAGCCTCAACAATTTAGGCCCTGAGCAATTTAGTAAGATCTTGTCTCAAAATAGAATATAAAACAGGCTGGGGATATGGTTTAGTGGTTAAGTACCCCTGTGCTCAATCTCCAAGAAAGAGGGGGGGGGGGGCGGGTAGAACGGGAGAGATAGAAACAGAAAGGGAGAAAAAGAGAAAGAAATTCAGAAAAACATAAAAATATGTTTTAATGTTTTATTCTAAACATTCTGATTTTTACATTTTTCTAATTAAAATTATAAATGAGTCAGGTAAATTCATAGGTAGAGAATGAGAAAGGACTGTTGCCTCAGCTTCAGGTAAATGTGCTTTAGGTAGTTGTTTATCAAATGCCTATGCCTGTATTTATATCTATGTGTGATGGTAGTTGTCAATGAAGCAGCGTCTATATGAAGGTATCCATACCACAGAAAAGTATATCTAGACAGAGGGAGAACGAACAGTGTCTAAGAAGGCAAAATAATGTACACAGAAGTATGCCCTGGGGAAAATCGCTTTTTAAACTTATAATTCCTTATGAGGATAATAAAAATGAGTAGCTAATTTGTTTAATGTTTGCTGTGAACCCTGGACATTGAGCTAAAATCCTGGACATGTATTTTTTACTCATTAATCTTCCTGACAACCTTTGAGCTAATATTATTGACTGCAACTGTACTGTAAGTGTCAAGCACAAAGCATGACCAATGATATGTAATCAGTGTTAGTAATTTAATTTTGTGATTATTATTCTTGGTGATTAGAAGACGATTGCACTGAAAATCAGTAAGTTCTATAGCCACTGTGGCCTCAAAACATTTGATAGCACATAATTATTTATAAATTTTACACTATGTGACTCTTTTATACTATATTACCCTGCTAGAAAGTAATTAAAAACATACCAATTAATTTTAACACATACACATATAGTCTTATACGCATCCAGATAGATCATTTTTCTTTGGAGCTAAATAAATTTCTCAATAATGTAACCAACATTCAAAATAATTTTAGAACATCTTTTTATATACTTATCTTCTGAAACATTGTGAGCCAAATAAGAAAATCAATCTCACTGTGTGAATATAATTTATTTTCAGACACAATAATAATCTCCAGGTGATTATTTATCATGTTTATAGGCTTGTCTCCAAATGATGCTTGACTTTATCCCAAATCAAAACAACAAAATTTTCAATTTATTTAAAACTCAAATTTTGTTATCTTCATCACTTCTAAAAGAGTCCAAAATTATTACTGAAGAAATATTTCAGAAATGTTTGAGTCACTGAGAGTGCTGTTTGGGGTAAACATGTTGGATCCTGTGATCTCTAGATGGAAGGAGATCACATTTTACCTAGAGGTGAAGATCATATTTTTTTCTTTCAGCACCTTCTTTTTCATACCTCCTCTGTAGAACTGATAGACTACTTATCTGGTTTGACCTTAAAACATGCTTTCCCTAAGCCATGGTACTTTTTTCAATGGAAAGGAAATTTTCGAAAATCAATTCTATCCTTTTCTTCCCTATCCTAATGTATGCTTAATTAGTTAAGGTAATGTTAATGATCATCAATGCCCTTACTGTGCTATAATACAACAATGCTCTCAATATTTGTGGAACTATTCACCCCAGCACTGAAAAAAATAGAGTTCTTATCACTACTTTCCTTGTTCTAATAATCTTGCCATTAGTGGTATCAAATGACTATTCACTTTGGTAGTCTCCATTCCTTCAGTAATTCTAATTTGTTGCTGCAAATCTCCTAATACTGGAGATCTAGTGCAGACAAGGAAACTAAGAAGCCAAGTTTGTTAACTGTATGAA